TTAAGATTGTAGGCATACACCAGCATGCCCAGCTAGTGTTGAGAACTGTCAGTTCAGATCATTTGCTCATTTTTGGTTAGAATGACTTACATTTTTTCTGGTATTAACCTTCTTTCACACAAATAGTTAATACATTCAATCTTCCATTGTAAAGATTCTCTTTATTAGTTTCCTTCGCTGTGCATAAGTTTTAAATGAGTTTGCTTTTATCAATTATTTATTTCCTGATTTTCTTTCTTTCTTTCTTTCTTTCTTTCTTTTTTTTTTTTTTTTTTTTTTGTACTGGGAATCAAACTCAGGACCTTGCACTTGCCAGGCAGGCTCTATAACACTGAGGTATATCCTGGCAATTTCCAGAATGTTATTGGCTATATAGTATCTTAAAAGTTGTACCCTATGTTTTTCTGTAGGAGGTTGTTTATTTCTCTTCCATTTGCCTCTTTTTTCTATTTACTCCCTCCTCTTCCTCTCATCTTGCTCTTCTGAGTAGGATACTTCCAGTGACCTCTTTTCAAGTTTAGATATTCTTTCACTTTAGTCTGGGAGCTTTCAAACTGAATTATTTATTTGACTCATTTGACTTAAGAGCTTCATTTACTTTTTTTCAATATTTCTCTTGGTTGAATTTCTTATATCTGCATTACATTCCTCAGTTGTATTTTAGAGTTTATCTGTATTTTTAAAATCATTCTTTAATAGGCATTTATTCCATTTTTTAAATTTTGCATGTGTTGTTAGACAATATAATCTTTTGGCAGTATCATGTTTTTATTTATCTTTTCTTACACTGAGATTTTTGAGGCAGGTGAATCAGCTATCTACCATAACACACTGTGTTCATAGTAGGTGATTCTCTCCTGAAGGTGTGTCTTAGGATGTCGGTTGGTTAAGTGTGTTGGTTTTTATTTTCCTGCGTATCACATGCATCCCTGTTGCCTCTTTGCCTATCATGAGTGAATTTAGGCACAGTGTATAAAATGTCTGAGTAAGACTGACTGTTGCAGGCTCTGCAAGACTGAGGTCACTCCAGCTGTTCAGGGTTGTGCGGTGTTAGCAGTGGGTTTGGGATTCTCTCTGTATAGCTACTCTCCCATTGTGAATGGTGGTACCTATCAGTTGATGAGTTTCTCTGAGATACTGGGGATAGTAGCTCTTCCTTAACAGTGGCCTCCGATACTGGCAGCTCCAACAGTGGTGAGAGGCCTTGAAAGAACTGTCCCTCAATCTCATAGCAGTGCCGCTCAACTACTGTGCAGGGAGAGGCAGTGGTAGGAACCACACCACCTTCTCGTGTCACTCCCACATAGTCCTGATGCCAGTGGCTGTGTTTCTCTCTGCTGCTGTTAGTGTCTACCTGAGAACAGCATTCTGAGCCCCAGCCAGGCACACGCAGGAATGGTGTAGTGGCCAGGACTGTTCTCCCCAACTGTGTCAGCTATGCTGCCCACCTGGGAATAGGAAAAAAAAAAAAAAAAAAAAAAGCTAAACATCCTCTCCAGGCCTTCTCCAGTGTTCCCTGAGGCAGGGCGATAGTCAGAGCAACATGTTGTACTGTCCAAGGTTATCTCAGTATGCCCATCTGTGCATAGCAACAATAGAATCATGGTTTTCCTTGCCCATGCTGGCAGTAGTATGTACCTGTGTACCGCAAAGGGAAGAGGGGCAGCAGGAACAAGGTGGCCACCTGCTTTCCGTCCCAGTGCCGATTTAAACCTGTATGTCATTGGTCTCAGTCTCCTGGTTGTCACAACTCCCATCCTGTATGGTGCAGGGCACCCAGCTCGTTGAGTCGGAATCACTTTGTTGGGCCACATAATGTGTGCCTGGCAGCTACCCACAGAGGCAATGCGTTAAAATGTCTGTAAGGTCCCAGTGAGGGAACATAAAGGTGTTTCTCATTTCACGAGCCATCCAAATTCAGACTACAGCTCTCTACTTTAAGAAGGCTCCTGACCGTAGCATCCTGGATATTTCTGAGGGATATCAGATGATTCTTTTCCAAGGTAAGGCTACTGCAGATTTCAGGTGAACTGTTTCCACAGACTGTCAGCATGTGGGGACGGTGAAATTCTGATAGGTAGGGGGCACAGCACCTGTACTGATGGAGTTTGGCTGGACTCCTACCCCCCTAGGGAGAGTCCTTGGTTTTAGATGCTGCCTCTTATGCTGTCTTCCTTCATCTCTGAATCTTGCCAAGGTTTCCGTCTCTCTTGCTGATTTCCAGGGTTCCCCCAAAACATATTATCTCACAAGGCCAGGCATGTAGCTGCTACTTTAGCTCTCCTAGGGAGGAAGAGGCAAGTGCTGGGCACCTCTAGTCAGTCATATGCAGTCTTTTGAGGTGCCTGTCTGTTACTCATTCACAAACTTTCTCGTTTCCCTGGTTTTCCCCCTTTTATTTTAAAATTTATACTATTAATTCAGCCAGTACTTAGTATAGAATGAGCTAGGAATCTTAAATTTTCATATCGTGGACAGTTGTACTGGTACTTTTTAAAAATAAAGCAATGTTCTCACATACAAGTTATCTCTTATTATACAGTAAGGTCTCATAATATTCAGAAGTATATCTAATCTTTTTATTTTGTTCCTCTCCTCTATTTACCTATCTGTTGCTGATACTGTCCTGCTTTAGTTTTGGGGAAATTTTTTATATTTGATAAGTTGGTTATTTTTTGTTAGTATTGTGTATTGTTCCATATAAACTTTGACACTGACTCAAAAAACAAAAAAGATGCGAGTGAACATGCACTATTAATACTGTATAGTGCTTGATATTTATATTAATATCCCCACTCAAGAAAAGGCTTAATTTATTCAGAATTTGCTTGGTATCTTTCGACAGGATTTTATAATTTCCTTCTGGCTTACATCTTTCATGTTCAATTATCTCCTAAGCATTTTTCCTTAGCTGTTATAAACTTTCCCTCACTTGTATTACTAACTCATTTTTGCAAGTACAGCCTCCATACATACTTTGCAATAATTTATTTCTGCTCACCTAGTCTCACCTTCTGACTCGAGGCAAGCCAGTTTTCACCTTGGATCTTCCAAGGCTACCTTCCACTGCTTTGCCTTCATCTTCTTGCTCTTTGAGTGATTCCTTTAGAATTTAAATGCCACTTGCTCAGTATCCTCCTTTTTCACAGTACTCATCATAAACTTAACACTTCTGTTTTTATCGTCAGGGTTTAAATATGAAAAGTCCCCTAAAAACATGTATTCAAAGACTGATCTGTAACGCAGCCATGTTCAGAGATGCAGCTTAAGTGATCAGGACTTGAGCGTGGACCTCATCAATGAATGAACCACCTATGAGCTGACTGTCCAATGGACTGTTAAGAGGGTAGGGGAAACAGTTCCCTGGGGATATGCCTTTGAGGGGAATCTTCTCTTTGGCCTCTTCTATCTCTCCCTGCTTTCTGGCTGCCACAAGTGAGTATTTTTTCCCTGCCATGTGTTTCAGTTTCTGCCTTGAAGCCACCTGATACGAAGCCCTTTGGAACCATTAGCGCCACAGTAAGCTTTTCCCCCTTTAAATTGTGTTGGATATTTTATCCCAGCAACAAAAAGATGATGTGTATATCCTCATTTTACATGTGAGAAAGTAAGGACTGACTGCAGAAATCAAGTAATTTACCTAAAGTATTATACTTCTAAAAGGGAAGTACTGCAGTATCTGATGCCCTCACAGCCTCATGCACTCAGAGTGACGCTTTTGGAAGGTGACTGGAGTATGGGACATTGCAGCTGACTTGCTGTTAGATGGAGCTTGTTGGAAAGAGGCAGATCACCCTGGGTGGGACCTGGGAGGTTGCTCTACCTCCCCATCCCCTCCCTTGATCTCTGCTTCCCAGTTCTTTTGTGCCATGCCCCTGCACCATGGAGCCACTGGACCATGGACTGAAACCTCTACAAATTAAGAGCCAAAATAATATTTTGGATAGTTTGTTGTAGCAATACAGAACTATGATAGGATTGAAAAATGGTCTCTCAGGCATTGTAACACTCACAGTGAGAACTATTAAAAAGCCCCTGGTTACAAATCCTAACTCTAAAGTTTCCTTTTACAGTATTCAACATTTAAAATTAGATAGATATACAAATGAATAATGGAATTGATGACACATAAGAAGACTAGAAAGATAAACCTCTCAATTGAAAATGAATCATACAACTTTCATATCTTTCTCTGAAATCACCAAACTTTTACTTGAAATTCTTATTATGTAATTAAAAAGTGTAAGGACATGAATTTTTTTAAATAATTCAAGGGTCTTATTGCAACCTGTCATGCCATTATTTTGATTTTTAAAAGTATATGACTTACAGTACCTATGGCTGCACTAATTAGTATTTATAAACATATACTCCTGGAACTGACTTTTCCAGTACAGATATTTTTGAAGCGCATTTTATAACTAGGTCCAAATACGGTGTTATAGCTAAAATTTACTATTATTTTTCAATTATGCATACACATAATTAGTTGAAAGTACCTTAATGCAAGACACAGATTCTAAGATTAGTCATTGTTTTCCAGCATCTACTGGTCCCACAAGTGGATATGTAAGGTATATATTCACCAGTCAAGCAGGTTTTAGCCTCAACATTTACAGGCCTAGTAGCCTATGTTAAAAAGAAAATTCAATAAACTGTAAGATTATTAGTGCATTAGTCAGAGGAATTTAATCCATTGCCTAAATTTTAGATTCTAAAGGTACAAGACAGAAAAATGAATATTGTGTTTCTAATTTTAGAAAACACTTCTCAGGCAAAGACAGAAGACAGTGTGGAGTGACACACAGGGATGAGCCGTGGTCTGGCAGAGCTCCCCCGACTCCCCGCCCTCACTGCGATTCAGTTGCCCTTGGCTGTCTCAGGTTGGAGGCTTCTCCAAATGTAGGGCAGTTAAGGAAATGTGTAAAACATATTTCTGACACCTCTCCTATGAAATAGAGGAACAATGAGGATGCTGAGAGGGACTTGGGACACACAAATTTTACGGTAGTAATTTTTTATTTTTATACATTTATATTAGGATATGGTACAATTTTCAAAGCTAATAACAAAATATTGGTGTATTTAAAGCATAACAAAATAAAATATTTCACAAACCTCCATATTACAGTACTATTAAAATTATGCATCTGTGGGATATAAACAATACATTCATTTTAAACAGTTAATGTGAATTAACATTTTGGTTAAAATAAATATGGTAAATGTCAACAGCAACAACTGAATACATGGATATGAGAGAAGTGTTTTATAATAGATACTATGTAGAAAGAGCGTATTCATAAATCAACTGTAAAATTTTACTAAATTTACAATTACTGCACATTGTTGAGCACTTAATTTACACAGGGATACCCTTCATTAACTGATCCTAAACCTCAACATACAAAACAAAGTTACTCCACATTTTTCTAGGGTAACTGGTACTTAGAAAGGTTTAGAATCAGGTATATCATTCATTTTACTGCTTCAATCAACTGAAACATTTTAATATGAAAACATTAATTATAAGCAGAAATGTAAAGAAAGCATTTCATAGGTGATTACAAGGATTAGAACCTCTTGCCGGGCGTGGTGGAACACAACTGTAATCCCAGCCCTGGGGAGGCTGAGGCAGAAGGATCACTGTGAGTTGAGGCCAGGTTGGGCTATACAATGAACACAAAGTGGGCCAGAATTAAACAGTGAGACCCTGTGTCAAAAAAAAATTGGAACCTCTAATCTCCATAATTCTTTGCAGTGATCTTTGGATTTACAAAGTGGTTTTTCAGGAAAATTATGATCAAATGTATTATAAAAAGACACAGTATCTGAAACAAAAATATTTCCCTGCATGGAAAATAGTAACGGATTTCACTGATCACTAAATTCTTCCTCCTTGTTTTTTTTTTTTTAAGTAAATAAAACAATCTTAAAAGTCACTGTGATGAAGTTAAATTTATGAATTTTAGGTCCATGTACTCCTAAAGAGTATAGAAAAAGCAAAGTATCTGTTTTATCTACAGGGAATTTCACTGCAGTCAATTTATATCACATTAAAATGTACACGGCACTAATGATTAATAGAAAAAATTCTACTTATACTTTTTGGGAAAAATCTATTGACACAGTGTAAATGTTATGAGTCACTAGAATCTGGGAAATACAATGCATTAAGCCCTTATACAAATGACTGACCAGCTTTTTCTTTGCTTATTCCAAGATAAAATTATCCTCAGACATCATATACAACTATTACACTTTTAAAATAGAAGATTTTGTAGTTTTGCCCTTTATGTTTCGAAAATTTACAACTTACCTGAAATATTCAAACAATCTAAGAAAAACACTATGTGGAAAAAAAAAAAAAAAAAAACTAGTTACATTGGCTAACCTTTAGTAGGAACTCTCTGATAATGAGGTTTTCCTGTTGGTGGGATAACCCATCTCAAGGTTTTATAGTGGCATCCAGAGCCCTTTAACTGTGACTGTCACGTAGATTTTTGGCTTCACAATTCTATGGGAAATTAGTTGCTACTAATATAAAGGCATCTGAGGGAAATGTGTCTCCGCATCTCCACAACAGCATTTGCTAACCTCTACCCATTTCCTAAAACTAAATTAAGCATTACAATCTTGCAACTTCATGCACAAATACAGTACTTTCCTCAAAAACTTCTCAACAGAAATGATAATGTCAACAGTTCTGGCTACAGCAATGGCCAGTTTTCATTCTCCTAAACATATTCTAAACCTTATAACCTTGAGTGAATTGAGACTATATCAACATTCACAGGTACAGTATAACACACATTCTTTCTTCCTCTCTTAATGAGATACGCATGCATACAGGATGGCCCAAATTTTAAAAAGTTAAAAAAATGTTTTCAATTCAAGAAAGTGTTGTATTTTAAAAGAAAAATATTTCCAGAAAATTGGAAACATTAATGGGAAAAATGCACACACGATATAAATAAGAAAGTAACTTGAAGAATATAAAAAATTTCTGAGGGAACCAATCAAAACTTTAATAAAATCTTCAATAAAAACATGTTTACATTATAGTGTACAATTATGAGTTAAAATACATTTAGTTTTATAAAGAAACAAATATAGTACTGCCAGATTATTCAAAGAATATTTTTCAAATGTACAGACAATAAAAACACAAAAACCTTGAGCAATGTGCAACGTTAAAATCCTATCACGCCAGCCAAAGAAATCCTTTACCACTTTTTAAATGGATTCATTTATACCATTTTAATGTAAATAGAATATCAAAGCTATTAAAATACTTTTCAGTGTTTGACTCACATTTTGCCCCAATCTTTTCACATTTGATAGTTACACTTTGAATGTATAAGCTAAGAATTTAAATCTTTGCCAACTAGTTTATGCTTACATTTCTTATAAGAGTTATATCTGAAAGCTATAATGCTAATTAAGATATACACTTCAAACTAAATGTCCATAAATGATTACAAAAAGCAAACAAGTCAAATACTCAGATCTGTAAGTTTTCAGAATGTTTAAATTATTCCCAAAGATGTATCTTCAAGGTAGAAAGTATAAAATATCATATACAATTATGAAAACACCTAGTTTCCTAAACTTATGACAATTAGAATTAAGAAAACTATATTTCCTGTGTGGTGGATATGCACATATTTCCCTAGGCTTTGCATCCACCTTGATGTGTACAGGATGCAACTTCATTATTTGGCACTGACACTGTAAAGCACAATTAATCACTGGAAAATGTACTACAAACACGTATTAATAAAAAAAATTAACTCCCAATCTAAAAACCTTTGGTGATTACTCTCCTGAACCACTTTCTTTGCTAACATGCCGCCTGGTTATCCTGAAGCCATTTTGGATTTGCAAGAAGGTCAATTAGAATGGTACAAAATGAAGCTTATTATGAAAACTGGTTAAGGATTCAAACAACATTAGCTCTGAAATATTAATCTTGAACACCCAGACAAGAACAGGGAGGTATGATCTGCAAAAAATACTTTAAATTATTTTGGTTACCATGCTCTTCATGATTTAGCTGCTTGCAGTGCATGCATGCATCCTTTTTGCTACATCATAAACATAGGTGATGTCCGGTCGCTTCTCTGGATCTGGATTGATGCACATATTAACTAACTGTCGCAGCTGGAAAGAAAGGAAAACAATGTAGCATACTTAATCCAACTTTTTCAGTTATTTTAAAAGAAATTCTAAGTAGCTATATATTACCAAAATATTTTCGAACTCATTTTCCTCTTAATGTATTTACCACTAGGAGAGGCTTTAAAAAGGACTCAAGTGAAATTTAATCAGAAGATATCAATCCGTAAGGACAAGATTTTAAATTACAAAGACTCTAAGTTAACTGTAGATATGCATATATGTAATCTAGAACTTATTACACCAGGTTTGTTTGTAAATTAACCCGAAGTATAAATAGCAAAAGAACAGATACTAGAAAACAGAAAGACAGAACTTTTGCAAAAGAGAGGCAAATCATGAGATGGGAGAGGAATAAAAAGTATCAAGATGTCTTATGTACATGTACCAACTCCTTGCAATGAATGCAATCATCACATACTGCAAATATGTACTTATAGGATATTAAAATTTTTCTCAATAGGGTAGATGTCAATCATATACATTTATCATGAACCATTATATAAAAATATTTTGTATTTTATATGAGAAACCATTCTTCTAAACTAAGAATAATAAATTTTGAGCTAGATTGATAATTGTATTATTCCAATTTTCAACTGTGTGGGATAACATTTATATATCCCAATCTTTTAGAAAAAAGGACTCAAGTTTCTAGCACTAAAAGACAATCAGAATAAATCAAGAAAATATCTTCCCTTATGAGCCTGATCAAACAGGTAATATAGTTTTCTTTTCAATTTAAATGTTTTCATAATTGTAGGTGATCTTTTATACTCAAATCCTTCTGCCTTGAAGATGTATCTTTAGGAATTATTTACACATTCCAAAAACTTGCAATCTGCATTGTTACTAGAGTTTCTTCACAGTCCTCAACTTCTACATACTTTTCAAGTAAAGAAAAGCTTCTATGAAAAAGGCGATGTCTGGCAAAGATGCTATTCTGGAAAGTGTGTGTTAGGGAGGCTGCCAGATGAGGGGCAGGGTTGGAGAAGGACAGTGAAGTGGAAACCAGTCTTACTGAAAGAACTGTGTACTCTCACGCTCTCAGGTAAATCACTGGGGGTTTATTTCCTCACCCATTATAAAGTGAGGTGATCAGTAAGAGTATCCCGAGCTCTAGTTCCTGAAGTTGTATAGTTCTAGAAAAAAAATTTAATGATACAATTTTAGCTACCCATGGAAGTTTACCCATGTTTGATGGTAATTAACACTATACCCACATTGAGCAGGGCGGGCCTGAAGATATCAATTTATATTCCATTCAAAAGTGCAGAGAATAGCATTAAAAAAACTTTTAAGTAGTATGGTAATACACTGAGCATTTTATTATAGCGACCTAAGAAATTTAAATTGTATTTTATCAAAAGCCAATGTATCCAGTTGTGAACAATTGAGAAAACTGTATGAAAGTGCTTATATAATGATACTTACATTTAAAAGTATATGTTCTAAATTATCAAGCTATCAGGCATTTTGTTTAGATAGAAAAATGATAAAGGAAGCAGAAAGGATGGCAGGAAAAGATGATCCAGAAATCATATTTAACAAAACTACAAGTAGTAGATGCAACAAATTTTGTGCACTGCTTTTTTACTGCCACATTCTTCAAACTAGTTTATAAACTTCACTTTTCTTGTACAGTATTTTAGAATAGGGTAGAATTTCTAACCTAGTGACAAGAAAAGACTAGTCCCATGTTCTCCTGCTATGAGGAAAAGCCACTTCTGATTAGAGAAAGAATGATCCAAGTTTAGCTGAAGATGACAGTGACTCTGTAGCTCTCCAAAATAAAAGAAGGAAAACTAGTAATGAAAAGGAGAAAAAGAGTAAGGGAAACAGACAAGAAGTGGCTCTCAACCACTCCTTAGGAATGCCCATTACAAGGGACATCAGGAACTCTCAGAGCTAGCGCAAAGCAGTGTTTGTTTTTTTCTTCCTATTAAAATTCAATCTCCACCAATTATGGTTTATTTTGCCACAAAGTTTTCAGTTCCAGAGGAATTATGCACAGATCTATCACTGCATAAAAATCATATATATAAAATATAGACCATATTTATCAATCTATTAATGTAATTTTTAAAAAACTATGTCATATAATACATATAATTTGTGAAGAAAATCCTAGAAAATTAAATTTCTACCTTCACTGTAGCTCTTCTTCATTTGCCACAAAAATAAACATAGTAGATTATCTTCTCTGAATGCTGTAATACTTCTAGATTTTACCAGGTATCACTTCAGCATGTGTATAAAATTGCTGTTAGCATTACTAATGGATTCCTACATGAGTTATTTCTATTATAAGTTAGGACAAAGCTTTGTCCTCAGGTCATTTCCTACATAAATAATCTGCCACTCAAACATAAGAAACATTCCATTTATATGATTTCATTTATTCAATTTCATAACAACTCTATAGGTTGAGCACTATACAACAATATAGTCTTATAAAGTCGTACTCCTAAGGTTACAAAGGCATTAAGAGATGGGGCATGGAATGGAAACTGAAGCAGTCTAGTTTCAGAGCATACGCTTGTAATACCACGTCACACTGGCAGAAGAAAATTCTAACTCAGTCCATAGGCTCCCCTAAGGCCACTTCTGCAAAAAGATGGGGTGACTTCCCATACAGTCAAGGGCAAACTGTTGGGTTGTATGACTTTTCACAAGACTGTCAGCTCTAACACCCATTACTCCGGTACCTAAAATTAACTTATCTATCTTCATATTTCACAGGCCAATTTGGACCACAGAGAAACCACCAAATTTTGTCTAGAGTGCAAAATTCATGAAGAAATATAGCAGCCTACTTTATCCAAGACACATACTCTTAATGACAAATACATTCTGATTAGTATTGAAATAAGTGCCAATATAATGTTATCTCTAATTTAACTCATTCAAGAAAGTGGCAGTAACTCACTCCAAACACAATGTACTTGAATTTCAACTTGGAACAATTTCCCTATTCTGGATTATAAACTTACACAAAGATGCTGGGGCTTAGCTAAGTGGCAGGATGCTTGCCTACCATTCAGGAGACCCTGGTAATCCACCCACTGTATCCCAAAAATAACCAAACCAACTTATACAGTAACCTCACAAATATAAAAAAAGACTATGTCATATACACATTAAAAAATTAAAATGTGATTTGAGACTTCCTTCAATGTTAGTCTTACATCTTTTTAAAATTTCCTATAGACCTCAATGAAAATACTTCATTTTAAAATGACTTATACCTTCCTAATGTTTTGGAGTTACTTTACAAATCTTTAACAGTTATCCAATACTTTGCAATGATTGCAAGTATCATTATTAACCATATTCAAGGAAAATGTGTCAAGATAATGAAGAAATCCACTTATATTCCTTTATGTCAGATTTGAATTTCTAATATTAGGTCCTGATTTACTAAAAAGAATCTTCTGCACTTGAGAGAAACAGTTCTCTATTTATTACTTTGAATTGTTCTGGTCATGGAATTATTCCTACATGTTAAAGTTAATAAAAATGAGCAAAAATTTCATGAGTAAAATCATCCTAAAGTATTTGTTAACTTTTTGCTTATTAGTAAAACATGTATGTTTGTTGCTTTTAAAAAAACTTTTATAGGGCTGGGGCATAGCTCAGTGGCATAAGCGCCTGCCTGGCAAGCGTGAGGTTATGAGTTCTATCCTGGGTACTAAAAAGCAAAAAAGCAAAAACTTTTATATAAGGGCATGTCAAAAATAAGATGAAAGTAAATTTGAATATGCAAAAGCCTTTATAAAATCAAAGAGAACTTCAGTGAAATTTAAAAAGCAAAACAGAAAACCTTAAATGAATAAAAACATATAAAGTAAAAATACCATGAATTCTCAGTAATGTCTAAAGGATCATCAAGTCGTAAGTCATGCAAAAAGTAATGTTTTCAGCATAACAGATAAAATATTAGTATATTTTGATCTGTATGTTTCCAAAGAAGTATCACAGCAAACAGGTTGAAATAAAAAATATTAAAAAGAGAGTGGTCACAGTCATAGATGGCAGGGTGATAACCTAGTTACAGATCACTGTACAAGTAATAACACTATGGCTCTCTGTGCATTATAGCTCTAGGTCACTAACACAACTCTCAATAGAATAATAAAGACTACTGCTATTGATACTGTTTCTTTCTCACCCCATCTTAATTCCTCTGAGACCAATTATGCAACTTCTCAGATATACCCAATTTTTATCTACCCCAGGACACATTAGCACCCCATTGTGTGTCTAATACATTACACTAAATTTTGGAGCATTCATTATTTATACAAAAGGATTAGGTGTATCAAACTGGTATACCAAAGTGTCAGCAATGATTAACTTTGGGATAGAGAAAAAGGGAAAAAGAAAGTCATTCTATACAGCTACAAGGTAATGCAATGTCTATATTTCATAACTAAAGATCATTTAGTGTCTTTAAAACTAAAGAACATTACACAGTTTTATAGGATCCCATAGGATATGTGAAATATAAGCCACCATCTTGGATTCATGTCTTCAAGGAGCAAGTCTCCAGCATTGCTTCAGAAGCTCAGGTGAACAAAAGGCTTGCTTCTCTCTCTCTATATATATATATTTTTTTTTAAATAAAAATGGAACATTAGAGCTTAAATATCTAATTTTACATGGCAATTTTTCATTAAGTAGCCAACTGATATAAATGATGAGAATATCAAACTTACTAAAACTTTTAGGAAGGAAAATCAAATGTTAACCATAGTGTTTAACATTCAATGCAATTTTTAATAATGGCACAATTACATATCTCCATTTTAAACTAAAATATTTATATGGGCATTTGAATAATTATAGGAATTTCAGAATACTTATACAGAATTAACTTCAAGCATTGTGTCATATAATATGTCCTTCATTTAAATATTCTTGGAACCATATATCAGGAAGAATTTTCCAACATTTAAAGTAACATTTACTAATTTCCAGTACAA